CCCCCCCCCCCCCCCTTCAAAAGTTAAATGGTCGGCCCCTAACTGTATTAGCTACAAGTAATGAAATATCCGTTATACAGCAAAATGTTAACGAACATTGCCCCCCCAAGGGTCAAGAGTAAGATAGACAGTTGGATGTGTTAGTGACAGTGATGACATGTCTCGAACGTGAACTGACAGCCAATGCGCATAGTTCACACGATCAAGTGCAAACACCACGGCATGATGCTGGCAAGTGATTGCACGTACTGATCAAAGTCTCCGTCTCGTATCGTTTTTACTATCTCGTGCACTAATAACTCTAACTCAACACCTGTGACCAGAAACAGAACTGTGGTTAATTTGATTTCATCTTGTTACACCATGCAGTGAAGTCTAAGGGCTGCTCAGACTCTTGAACCGATTCTTTGTACTCTTCGAAAGCTGTTTAATTTGTTGCAAGACATACATGGCTGCTGCGGTAACCTCGTGCGCATGCCTAGTTGCATGACTCTGCCGTGCCAACACTTGCTATTCCGGCGTTAACTAGTGCAGTTACCCAACCACTCCCATTCAACCACTCTCCTATGCATTTCATTACTGCCATTTCTATGTGCAAACCACCAAACATGACCACGTAATGATCTTCTCCATGTGTATTGGAATTGTTCCACTGTATCTGTTTTGCTATCGCAAAAAGTGATTGATCCATTGCTAATACTGGTATTTGACCTGGGTTTAGATGTTGCACAACATCGTTAATCACATTCGTGCCATGTAATATCATGGCGACGGAACTGCGCGTTCTCCAGAAACAGGGGTAAAAGAGCGACAATGTCGATATGATGTTCTGGTGGAGGTTAAAGTGAAGCATGAAAAGCTGCCCAAGACACGAATTCATTCCTCTTTGTCAAGCTCGTCTTTTCCGTAAAGTAATTTAACATTCTCTAACCAATTAATGTTTCTGGTAATTGCATCTTGATCTTGTGTTGGGGGCATTACAGGCCCTATTGACTTAGGGAAAACCGGACCTTTATCTTTCAGAACAGCTGGCGGAACATTTCTGTATGCACCTGGAAGTTCTCTCACCGTCTTCTGCCTTGGTATATCTTCATTAATAACATTTATCCCGCGTTCCGTACCATGATTCTCAGTAGTTATATGCTGCACTACTGATATTGCTGTACCATGGAACGAGTCTTTCGCTGTAGTTGCGCTAGGATTGTGGTCAATGTTGTCTAGAGCAGCGGTACAAAATAGATCTCTTCGTTGTTTTGGAGGGCAAACTAAACCGTCCTGTTCAAAACGATGCCATACACTGTTTGCAGCATCAGCAGATATGGACATCACACGAAATAATGTGTCTATAAGGGTTCTGCTTCTTGTCTCTACATGGATTTTCAAACCTATGTACAGGGGAACAGCTAGTGCTCTCATGTTCCCTACTATGGCGCATAATAGGCTGAGATTCCTCACTAGTAGGCTTTCTGTTCTTGACACAGTTAAAGCTTATTAGCTGCGAAATGGCTAAGCTTGCCGCTGTAGTTTATATATTGTCGACTGATTCCGTTTTTATTTGTGGTCCATCGAGGTCATCAATACCTTAGCTTTAAGGGAGGAAGGGACACTACTTTCTTGACAATTACTTCCAAACGACCCATTAAATAATCTATTTTTGTGGGCAAAAATGTCTCTCCTTATGATGCCCGATGCTCTGGCGAGAAGTAAAGCCTCTGAATCATCGTCATGCTCACAAGCTTTCAATACAGCCACCTCATATCTTTGTTGAATGTAAGGAGTATATTATTCTTCTGTTTAATTAAAAGAAATCAGATCGGGCAATTCTGCTTCAAGTTTATCTTTAGGACGCGTTGCATGAACTCTAGAGTGCTGTTCAGCTCCTAGATCCTCTAATATTGCGGAATACATTTTGCATAAATCTGCCAGAGGAAATACGGCAGATGTTTCCTTGTTTTCTCTGAACTCCTCTATGTACAACACAAGTTCAGCAAAAGCAATGGCGTGTAACCTAGAGTTCTCTTGTTCTTCATTAGTTTTACTGTAATTCCGCCTGACGCGATTATAAAAAGCAACCATGCACTTAGTGTGATAGATAGCATCAATTGCCACAATATCACCTGCAGCTAATTTCGTAAGTAGGCTTAGTGTCATTGAGCTCGGTGGCGTACTTTCTTACCTTTGTGTCAACCTCTAAGGTCGATGCTCTGTGTAGGTTGCCGCCAGGTTTGTCACAGAAAAAACACCGACTCTCGAATATTGATTTATCTTCTGTTAAACGTCTCGTTTTAGCCACCGATTTTATTGAGTCATTGTCTTCCTCAGTAGTGTAGCCAGCCCGACTATTTGGTCCCGCTATGCAAATATTTCCATGTTCATTGACTGTGAAAACAATCAATTTCTAAAGAAATGAATAATGATAATAATTTTGAATTTGCATAGCGGGACTAAATCGTCGGGCTGGCTACGCCACTGGTCTTCCTCATTGTCTTCTTTTCTTTTAGCGGTCCTCTTAACTTCTGTAGTGTTGATCTTGTTTCGACATGATTTGTGCCAGCAAGCTTTATTAACGGTCAAAGTTGATGCGATCCCGCTACCATCGTCAAGTTCATATATATCAAAGCCAAAGGGATTTGCTTGTAACTCATGCAATTGCGATAAATTTGAGGCTGGTGATAAATAACCAGCCCCTATATCTTTTCGCTTCGATTTTGCTGGGCAAACAAGAGGTTCAATGGATGGTTTTCTGCAGAGGATACACATTTCCCAATCAACTCTCTTTTCACAGTCATTTTTCCACCTTGATACTTCACAATGGCTAAGCACTCTATGTAATTTCGCCATTGGGAAATTCCATCTTAAAAGGAAATTACAATCTTTTCTAATAATTACAGTCTTTTGTAATAAATTATTCTCCACTACTTATTTCAATTCTTACCTGAAACATCGATAATGTCGTCTCTAAAAACACTGTAAGTTGAGCTCCGCCATGACAGTTTGTACACTAGAACCCAGGCCTCTAAGAGACAACCTCACTCCAAATCATTTATTTGTCTTAAATTATTTGGTTTTATACTGCAAAAGTACCAAAAACAATAGAATTTTATTAGAGTCTTAACTATAAACGTGAAAAATAATATTTTTTTATTGGATAGAAGACCATACTTATATAATCGCCAAGTTTAACTATTATTCAAGTTATTTTGATATAATATTATTAATTTATCAAAAATTGACTAGAGAATATTATTCTAATATCACTTCGCATAGTATGTACTTTGTCTACCGCATGTAATAGAGTAATATGTCTATCATACTCCAGAATCTTGTTCGCGAAATAGCATTTACATAAAAAATTAAAAATGCCGACTCAGCATTTCTGGTCATATTTTTTATAAATCCATTTATTCCTTTCCCAGAAATTTCCTCCAAGATTGTAGCTTGCAAATGATATTCTCATTACGTTTTCAACAGTTTCGGAACGTTTGGCCAACAAATTGTTTATAACTTTATAGATTGTAAAATCTATATCTTTAATCATGATTGTACATGTCTTGTTCTTACTTATCCAACATTTAGGAAAGCTATAACCAAATTACTGTCACATTAGCACTAGCTTGTTATTATATCAGTCCTCCTCCCCCTTCCAATATGAATCAAATGAAGTAGCACACGTCGTGCTCTCATGTAATAAATATCATTTTATAATGGCGATATCTATTGAGAAGTAGTATGAAGTCGTGTTGTTTATCTATCAAAGATACAGACCGATTTAAACATGAACAAGACGCCTGGTTTCCAATAACGGTTTCCAATATTTTTCAGGGACATAACCATCAATCCATTAGACATTAATCATTATAATTAATGAAGAGCATATAGTCCTTGATAACCTTCTGATAACCAAATTAAAGTATAGAGCTCTTTTTCACGGATGCAGAGAATATCTTGTGCAAGTCCAACATTACCAAGTCACCAATACGCAATGTGTAAAAAGGTTAACAATAGTTAACATCCTTTCCTTAAATTTTTACAATAGTTAAAATTTAAAATATTTTTATTAATCTTTATATGTTATCTTATAAATAAATAGCATAATTATTAGGGATGCACCGGATTTGGAATTTTCAAATCCGGCCGGAACCGGATTTACCGGATTTGGACAAAAATTCCGGCCGGATTTGCCGGATTTGAGATAAACCGGTAATGGGGACAATTGGGGATAAATCAGTATTCAAAATGGCGGTTTATGTTTCTTACTATTTTTAGTTAGTGTCAGTTTAGATTTTTGATTGTGTTTAAACCTTTTTTAAATATATTTTTGTTAATAACTTAATATTTTATAATAATATAAGTGTTTTTAACCTTTAAAGCTGCCAAATTGATGGTTTATCCCATTCTTGGTGAGTTTTTTTAAGGTGAAAACAGAAACTTAAATCCGGCCGGATTTTCTCCAAATCCAGCCAGATGCCGGATGCTGGAAAATTCGTTAAATCCGGCCGGAATTCCGGCCGGACCCGAAATCCGGTGCGCCTCTAATAATTATGATATCAATCATATCACGTATGTTCATAACTGGTTTTAGCTTAGTAATTAATTGTAATAATTAGCTACGTATTCAGCTTTCATGGCTGCAAGGTAATTTCATTAAATACAGATACACACATATATTTTATTTAAATTTAAATCGCAGTTGAAATACTCATTATAAAACCTTTCTCGTTCTCGTTTGACCCTCTAGAGCTTTGGTCGGTAGAAATTATTGAATCGCACGAATGAATAAACAAACGAACGAATTAATAATTGTTTGAATAAATTAACCAAATTAACTACTGTTAATAAAGGGGAAAATAATACACAGCAATAAATTAGCTGGGTTGTAAATGTAATTCGAGACCACCTCGAGATGGCCTAGAATACTAGATCGATCTCGAATCGGTCTCGGCTCGTTTTTGCTAAATTCCACATGCACTTGATCCGATACGGCTGTGAATTGATGTTGGATTGATTTTACGAAATCGTGTAGCCAGAGAACTTTCTGTACCAAGTTGGTTGTTCCAGAACCAAATTGTCCAATGTCGTGTGAATTACAATCTCAATTCACCCATGTTTCTCTAGTTATATAATTTAGAAGTTTGTCATTCTACTGTCCTTTGTCATTTCATGTCATTTGAAAAGTTGTAATCGTTGCATTATAGCAGGTGGCAACAGGCTACGAATACAAGACAAGAGAACTTGTCGCCATAGATTGTTAAATCATAGAGATGTATCAAAACATTGTATTTGAAAACTTTGTCAAATTTCACTTATCAATAATATCAGCAATAAACCAATATGATCTGAACAATATTTTCAGTAGCAGAATTAAAGACATCTAAAATGAAAAGAAATTGGCTTTTGGTCTCAAGATCTAAGGATCACAAGAACACTAAAGCGGAACAAGACACCAGTGCAGACACCAGGACATCACGAGGTACATGATCATATTATTCAATATTATCACCAATTTTCGCTTTTATCAAAACTACTGATCAAATTTAGTCTCCAGACTCCGCCTACATACCATACACATAGTTGTCACTACAACAGTGTATACCGTATTTTGCAATTCATTGTTTAATTTTTCGTGCAAGACATAGAAATTTCAGACCGGAGCGCGAATATTAAATTAGTTGTGTTATATCAGGATAATAACAAGCTTAAGCAAGCTACGTTTTTTGTCAACACGGACGTCACCACGGTATAATTAATTTTAATTTGGCGGCATTTTGAACCATAGCGTGTAAGGAAACAATAAACTTCAAAATGAGATGAGATTTGAAAGTCTGTCAAAATCTCTGCAAATCGAATAGCGCGACGTGTTTAAAGTAGCTACATTATCAAAGTATACAAATCTCTTTTCCTATGTAACTGGAAACACATAGCTTCCCACATCTCATCTAATGCGGAGTTTTAGAACGTTTTAAGCACTGCAAGATGGCCGGCATTGGCAGCCATTTTGCTGTGACCTCATTAGTTATTCACGGGCAAATTTATGGGGGGAAAGAGGCCACTATTCATAAATTTCTATTGAGAGGCAATTTTAAGACTTACCACCGTATTTTTCAGACAATGTTTATCTTTTCTTACAAATAACCAGAAACTGTTAGAACCTCTTCTACTATGTCACGAACACCACAGTAGATGTGTGGTGGTCACACCAATATAGGCGCCATTGGCTTCATTCAATTTATGCATATAGCGGGTGCACCATCAATAATCTAGTTTTCGAGCGACCGTTCATCCCGAGCAAGCAAAGCAGGGAAACATCAACCAACATACCAAGCTTCCGTAGACTTTAATAACCTTGAATCTGAAGTACATAACGGGATGTGGATTTCTATTTATTATCTGTTTTCAAATTTTTCTTACTCTAGTTTTCTTCAACTTTCTCTGTTTCTTTATCCATGGATTCATCCTGATTCCTTCTTTTTGCTCTTTTGCTTTTCTCGATTTAACTTATTCAAAAATGGTAAAAGCCTTTTAGTGCACTTAAGGCCCTGTCACACTATTGCGTATGAGAGAAACCTATGGGAAGCGTATGAAAATTAATGAAATAATTTTCATACGCACAAAAATACTTTGAAATGCCAGCGTATGAGTACCGTACATCTGGCGTACCTCTAGCGTATTCAGCGTGTGCCTAGAGTATGCTTATTGTATCAACCATACATCCGATACGCACAAAAGTTTTGAACATGCTTAAAAATAATTTTCTGCCCCGCCGTATGCCAGCGTATGCCACCGTGCTTGAAACGTATACAACCTATGCCTAACGTACCCCTGGCGTATGCCAGCGTATACCGGCGTATGAGTGAGATTTTCCATACGCTGGCATACGCTAGTACGATACGCAATTGTGTGACGGGGCCTTAAGGCAGCTAAAGGGTTTTTATATGCAGAGTTTTGCTATATGGCCTATAGATGTACATTTTTGTAAGTTGTATTATCTATTACATGTATTGTAAATAATGTATGTTTTACGTACGGTACTGATGTAATTTATAATTACCAAACGCTACTGAAAAACACTATGCTATAATGTGGGTATCATGATTAATATTCAGATAACGATAATAATAATAATAATTAATGCAACCGTATTGGAAAACTACCGTTAGCACTGACGAAGATCCAGGCTTTGGGGTCGAAAGATTTGCAAACAATAAATATTAGTGGTGCTTTCCACAAATTAAGAGATACAGATAATTCAATTAAGGTTGTCAGGTGCTACACCACAAGCCGTTTTGGTTTTTCTTAAAAAAGCAATTTATAATTGACGAATTCTCGTGGTTTTACCCATTTCGGATTTTAATTGCACGTCGCCTTGGCTCTATAGCCTCGTTTTCGTAATTGAGATGTTGGGTTCAGCTAATATCACGTATGTATTGGATAACAAACCAGTCAAAATTCATATAATAGTTTTGTTTGTGGAAACACCACGTAAATTTATTACTGCAAAGCTTTCGATCCGTAAGTCCGGATTTTCATCAGTGCTAATAATATGTGTCAGATTATTAGCACTGATGAAGATCCGGGCTTACGGATCGAAAGCTTTGCAGTAATAAACTTACGTGGTGTTTTCACAAACAAAACTATTATATATGTTTTATCGTCATGCTTTAAGTTTGAAAACTCTTTAACGTTAAAGAAAGGATGTTTGTGAGACATGCATGCTTAACTCCGTTTGGAATTAAATTCATACATATATGTATAATTATATCCAGCTATTTTCCGCAATAATATTGTTCAAAGTAAACATTGCTATTTAGCCTGATGATAGACAGTTATATTTCTGTCAAGTGTTGAGCATTGCTTTGTCAAGACTAGTCATGAAATAGAATTCTGGAAGTTACGTTACGACCGAAACATTTTCAAAAATGTATGTTTCACCTTTCAAAACTAATAATTTTGGTTAAAACGGAAATAAGGGAGAAATATATTTCAAACATCCATGCATGCAATGATTGTACATCCAACTGAGCATGCAAGTATTAGAATTTATTTTAGTGAACCAATTTCCCAAGCCAAACACGAAAAGGCATATGCATGCGTTCAAGATCATGAAGATTATTGGGCCTGACCTTGAGATTGTCACTTTTAATTGACTTAGGTGCCTACAGGTCCTTAATTGTTTATTTCTTTATACATATAGGAGGAAAGTAAAAATACCCGAAGTGAAATATTAAGAGAGATATGCTTCAGTCAGTTCCAGCTAGATTCACAATAGTTTTACTTATAACCACTAACATTTTGGTTGCTGAAATTGAATTTGCTCAAAGAAGAAATGGAAAGGTAGTTCCTGTTGGGAGTTTAAATAACCAACATAATTCAATGTTATTGCAGAACAGAAATGCAGCTTCCAAATTTATTACAAATGTTAATGGTATAAGCGAAAAGACGTTCCCTAGTGACAACTCAAAACAGGACTTAGTAAAGTCGGTATTTTTAAAAAGCAACTTCCCTACAAATGCCAAATTATATCCTAACACCAATGTTATAAGTGGTTCGGAAAAACGAAAGTTCAGCTTCCTTCTGGATTCAGATAACAGTAAATCAATTGGAAATAAAAACATTGCTGAAACAACAAAGGTCCAACATTTAACCACGCCCGATTTGATCACTAATACTGATATTAAGGTCCTGCAAAAATTTGTCAAGAAACTCAAGAGCTCTGTCAAAACTGAGGAAAAAGGAAAAGCTTCAACCATCTCAACACAAGAAACTTCAAAATTAGCTTCTAGCATTGGGCCTAATAATTTATTAAGGAAGCCAAGCAATACCCAATCAGCGGGTGACCCATATCAACAATCAAATTTGCAAAATAGTTATGATAATAGGGAGCAGTATTCTTCAAATCAAGATGAGATACCGTTGAACAACCAAAACAATATCTCTCCAAAAGATAAAAAGGTCAGTCTTCAACAAACTAATAACTTAAATAATATGTCAAAATCTGATGTCGACGCTCTGTTAGCAGTCGCTAAGGAATGGAAACGTTTGCACTCTAAAGGAAACGAGAATCAACCACACAACCATGAACTTAAAATCTCCAATGAAAAAAATAACATGCAAGGAATAGTTAACAAGCAATCAAGAGAACGTGGATATTCTACTCCAAAGTCTCAAAGAGAGCGAAAGTTATTTTTTCCGAAACAAAATTACATGAAGACCAAGCAACCATTTAATGCAGGTAATGAAAGAGGACGGAAAATAAAGGTTAATCGTATTTCAAAGTTAGCAAGAGCTAAGGATACAACAAAACTCACAAATGAGAATACAATATCAAATGATCCAGGCCTACAGTTAAAGGAGACAGTTGATAAAGCTATTGAAAATACAACCCAACAACTATTGCAATTTATAAAGTTAGAAAAACATTTAAAAGGATTACAAAATGGTTCATTCCTGAACGAAAGCAAAAACGACATCCACTATACAAACACGTTTATCAACTTGATCAACACAATGCGCAACTCTAAAAATTTAGGAGGCGACGAAAGAGAAACGAAACACAATAACTTCAAGGAGAACAAAGAGAACGATTTTAATTCTGCTAGGCAGATACGATTGGAAAAGCAAACATCTCTTAATCAAAAAGAACATTCAAGTTTTTCGCAAAACGGTAAAGATAGTCAGGAATTTAAAACGGTTCAGAAAAAGATTGCGAAAGAAAGAAAACTGAAACAACGCCTCAAAGCAAAGTCTCAAGATCAAATATCACACAAACTAAGGCAAAAACAACAAATTAGAAAGCAAAAGGGACTTGGGCAATCACAATCGCAGCAAAACAAAAGTGAAGAACAACGAAAGAAAGTTAAAACACAAAGAAAAACAGATCAGAAAGAAAAATACAAATCTCACAAGCAAGAAAACGACTTGAAACACGCAGAGGAGAATCACGAACACAAACAACAAAAACAAGAACAACAAAAACAAACGCAACATCGACATGAAGAAGAACAGCAGCAACAACAAAAACTTCAACAACAACGAGAACAGGAACGACAAGAAAAACATCAAAAACAACAACGGCAACAACAACAACAACAACAACAACAACAACAACATGAAGAACGAGAGCAGGAAAAACAAGAACAACAAAAACAGCAGCAGCAAGACAATCAGGAAACAGAAAAAGAGTCGGGAAAAAATTCTGAAAAGAACCGACAAACAAATGTAAAAAATGAATACAATATTCAGGCTGATCAGCAAGAAGAAATTAAAGAACAAGAATTTCAATCTCCAAACACATCTACAACAGATGAGCAAAGAGAAGACTATGTTCTAAAAGCAGCCAGACACTTTCGTATGAAAACTATGAAACATTTGATAGCATCTTTAGCTGAGGATCCATTTGATACCTGGATTTATCACCAGAAAAGCTTTGATGAGCTTGGAATTACATCAAGTCTTCTCAAAGCAGGAATAGTCAATCTTGGATCTAGTAAGCCAATGCAAAATGCAGTACGAAAGGCTGTTAGAGGAAAAAATGTCAAATTGCTGGTTGTAGGAGGTTCAATTTCAGCTGGTGGAGGGTTGTGGAAAGATCGTGGAAATATAGATGGTGTGTATCACAGAGCTCTTGCATACTGGTGGAAGAGGACAGTCACTCCAGTTACAAATTCTGAAATGGAGGTCACCAATGTAGCAATTGGTGGAACAGATTCCGAATATTTCTCATATTGCATAAATAATTTTTTGGATAGTGATCCCGATATTGTATTTTGGGAACTATCTGCAAACGACTACAATAGATTTAACGAAAGAAATTTTGATCCAAGTAAACCATTGGAACAACTTACAAGGATAATTTTACAACTTCGCTCTCATCCTGCTCTTATTTATGTCAACTTTTTTCGCGGAGATAAACAGAACTTTGAACTGGGTGAAAAATGTCCGGACTCTGAGGAAACTGAGGTAGATGTCTTGTCACGATACTACGATATTCCATCCCTGAGCTGGCGAAGAATGGTTTGTAATTTGATTACAAAAAGAACATTTGTTACTCAAGAGTTATTCGGTGATGATGGTTATCATCCAAATCTCCTGGGACACGCTCAAGTCGCAATGTTATTAATGATGTACATTAAGGGAGTATTTGAAAGTGTTTTAGCGGACGATTTAGGCAACATGAAAAAGTTTAATATTCTAGACGAAAACGACGTTGACTTTCAAGATGATTTTCAATTGAAGATCCCAGCATTCAAAGATCCTCTGAATCCAAAACCTAGCTGTTGGACTTTGCTTACACCAGACTATACAAAGGTCTTCAGGAATACTTTAAATGAAGTTAATGTGTTAAAAGGAGAGGGATTTGAGTTACGCAATGTAACAGCTTGGGATGTTCGCACAGATAGAATACAATGTCTCTTTGCAACAAAACCAGGTGCAATATTAGATCTAAGTCTCAATGTACCTGTTTTAGATTATGATAAGAATTTACCTTTGGCTGATGCGCAGACTAGAACACTAGCTATTGCAATTCACAATAAGTTTGGCGGAGCAGCTGATGTACAACTGGATGAGTTACCCAGTAAAGCATCAGTTGCAACTGGAACAGGAAAGCTGAAGCAAACAAGAGTACATATTGTAAGCGAAGATGTTCGTCCAGGGGTTCATAATTTACGTTTTCGTTCTTTGTCAACTGGATTTTGCCTCACATCTATAATGGTCATTTGATCATGGACAAGCCTATAGCCTACCTTCTCCAATATAATGGTTCAGTGCAGACTGAATAGAGATTTTGCTTGCAATCAGCATTTTGCGTTGTTGTGTAAACTATCACTTAGAGTATTGTATTCTGTTACTTGTGATGTAACCTTGTAATTCACTCCTAAATATTCACCAACAATGGTCTGGAAAAGGATATTGCATTTTGCACACAATTTTGATTCAGTTAGAATAAACCTGACAATTAGTTGCATCTTTTGCCTGAATGAGGGCATTAGAGCAATTAAGCTGCCGGACAAATTCGACCGTAGTAAGCCCGTCAGTACTTATAAAGTCCGGGCTTACAGATCGAAATATTTGCAATAATAAACATATACGTGCATGGTATTTTCCACTACGAAAACAAATATTTACATTTATTCTGCGAACGCGAGTCGTATGTGAGCTGATAGCCGACGAGGTGCTTGAACCGAGTTGGCTATCAGTAATATACGACGAGAATGAGTAGGACAACTGTTTTATTATATAAATAATTACTGCATTTACGTACATGCAGACACTTCCATATAGCAATATTTTGACAGTTTGTTTAGCAATCCACACAACTTGGTTTAAACCTGAGAAAACACTGCCATTTTTTAATCAGTACTTCGAACATTGTTAAAACTTGAAATTTTTATACGGAATATTTAATATATTTTAGACAAAACAAGTGCTTGTTGACTTCATTTCTAAAAGAGTTTTTGCTTTTAAATCAGTTTTGTCCAAAAAAATATATTCTGATTTCCGTTCATGTTTTCACTTCGCTCTTTCTGTAGTATTATTTTCAAAAAGATATTTTGAACTAGTTTAAATATAAAAAAAGTATTTGCTAACCTATACACAGTTGCTGGAGTTTTTTCATTGTGTTTTTATTGCTGTTAAAGTTATAAAAAGCAAACTTGCTGTTTTCTCGTTCGCAAAACTCCGTTATTCTTATATGAGCTAATACCCTGCTGGTAGAGAGCCAATTAGATTGCAGAATAGCTTATATCCGATAGCTGTCTATATGATAATATATTCGTTTGTTCTACTAGACCAATTTAAATAAATTTTAGTGCCAAAATTCATCTCTCACTCGAGTCCTACTAATAATTAGTAGCTTTGTAAAAATCTGGAACACCGCTGTTGCATTATTTTGGGGACATCATGTATAGCTTCTCTTCGTTTTGTTTGACTTCTCGTGAATTATTGCGTGGGGATAACGGGACATTTTCAGTTCTAATATGAACTGAACTTAGCCCACGAGGCAAGCACTTCTTCCACTCAAAACCCAAAGTGTCTCACTTGCAGGTTAGTCTACCTCGAAAAAAACACTTTCGCGTGATCCCTAGTGGTCAATCTATGGGCGTGGTTCACTCGATCAGATCATTCTGACTTCTTATACCAGGCTCCAGTTAGGTCGTTACATGATAACGGTTAGCTTGTTACGACATCAACAACTATGCCGCTCAGAAGTAATGCCTGCCCAAAAAGATTTCATTCTTGCTACTACCTATAATCTGGTAGCCACCGTTCGAAATTGTACCACAAAGTTTTCTCCCTTGACAATTTTTGTCTTATCATATCGCAATTTTGTCTTTTGTCTTACAATTTTGTCGTATCATATCGCAATTTTGAGAGTGAAAAATATTCCTGAAGCTGTTGCATTCGAATAGATTCGATGTTGTGACAAGCCGACCTGGTATCGTATAGGATAAACACAGTTAGGAAAGTAATATATCAATTGTTGTAAAGATAAATAGTCTAGGCTAAATAAGTAACATAAATAGTTGTAATAGTTGATGTAATCGGTCACTGAAAAGCTCCAATCCCCATTGAATAATAATAATGTAATATTTAGGACCGATACATGCATCAGACACTGGTATTGTACTTTATAGTAAATTATTTCATATTTAATTCATGTATTACAGTAATTTACAGCATGCACATTATAAATCTTATATAAAGACCTAATTCATTGGCATTTCGACTTGTATCATGCCGCTGTGGGTAATCAATATTTATATCATCTTTATCGTATACTGTGATTAACATTTTATACGTTTCACCAAACAATACTGGAGGCAAACAACCTATCTATCAATGGAAACTTTATTTAATTTAAAAGGCTTATAAAACTGAACTCATTAAGTAATTCCATGAGCGAAACTTTGTGCGCATATTCAGTTTAATCAGGGATATATATACATAATTCATAAACGTAGGGAGACTTAATTTATACCACTTATAAAACCAAAAAGCTGGTATAAAACCAGATATAATAAAAATACCTTGCTAAACCTTATCGGCTATCATTCCTTTGCATTCAAGGGGCGAGGGTGAATGGCTATATAATTATAAAGGAGATGATTTTTCCTGTGTTGGTGTTATGTTCTCAAGTGATTATGATGCTTGTGATGTTACTCTGAGTGTATATCCACACCGGGCAAGCTTGAAAAATATGCCTGGCCACGGTGGGAATCGAACCTACGATCTTTGGAATACTAGCCCAATGCTCTTCCAACTGAGCTACGCAGTCAGGTCGGTTCGAGTATGTGATATTTCGGAACTGAGTCTAGTTGCTTCGATATCGATGCAATCTAGTAATATGTTTTTTCTGTGTTGGTGTTATGTACTCAGGTGAATATGATATACACTCAGAGTAGCATCACAAACATCATATTCACCTGAGTACATAACACCAACACAGAAAAAATCATATTACTAGATTGCATCGATATCGAAGGAACTAGACTCAGTTCCGAAATATCACATACTCGAACCATGAATAATAAAATAAATGAATAGGACTCTAGCTGACGTAAGCAAAAACAACCTAGTTGCAATCTTTGACGTCACGCGTATTGCAAAGTTCTCGGCATTTTTGTTGTTTCGCTAGACTTTCTGCTTTAAAAGAGTAATATTGAAGCATGAACTGGTCTAATTGTTTCAAAAACACGCCTAAGCCACGACAAAGTATTCAAGGTAAATGTTTTTCGTCTTTGTTTAGTATTTTTTTTTTACATTTGTAGCTACGAAATTGACGTCCCCAATTTTAACGAAATTTGGGATGCATTTTTCACTGTTTAGTGCTTGAAATATTCGCTAAAATTGACTGGGAATACTTAGAGATTTCATTGTAGAATGGCGTAATTATATTCATTTGCTCTTTGACTAAAATGTTTAGCTGTATTATTGCTAAACATGCCGTTTTTGAGAATTTGGTTTGCAACTAGGTTTCAACATCCAATCACGCCATCAGTCCATTGAAAACATTGGATCACGTCAGCTAGTTTCCTATACATTTATTTTATTATCCATGCTCGAACCGACCTGACCGCGTAGCTCAGTTGGAAGAGCATTGGGCTAGTATTCCAGAGGTCGTAGATTCGATTCCCACCGTGGCTAGGCATATTTTTCAAGCTTGCCCGGTGTGGATATACACTCAGAGTAACATCACAAGCATTATATAGGAGATGCTGTGCAAAATTTTGGCTTCAACATACAGATACTCGTGCAGACAAAAAAGGAAAAGCATACAGTTGCGAATTGTCTTATAATTCTGTACTGTCGATCCCAAACAATTTTGTACGTTAAAACTCCTTCCTACCTGGTGTTTAATATAAACGATGATAACCTATTTTTTAAAAAATCTAGAGCACTATATCTATAAACGGTTTTAGAAACAATAGAATGGACATTCAATGTCAATTTGGCCAGTGTCCAAATGTGTAACGTCTGCTGTAAGACCACCACGGCGCTACGACCTGCACAGTCGCTTTTGAGATCTCTCTTTAATGGAAAGTTTATATCGTTTCCAAATGACACTAATTATAAGAATCTTATAAATATCTGAACCAGAGGCAGGACAGAAACGTACGCGTGAAATGAAACTGCCCCCGAGCCCCGATAGAATAAAAGAGCAAATATTTCAAAGCATACGAACATACGTTTTCATTGCTTGATTTCCTGACTTGTTTGTTGCTATAAAAATCTGCAGTGTAGCATGTTTGTATAATTTAAAAGCAAACAGAAACCAAATTTAGCAAGTATTTTAAAGTATATATGATTCTCGAAGATGATTGTATACAGAATAACGGTCACTCCTTGCAATCAAAGTGTGAACTGCGGAAGTGGAAACACGTAATATGAGACTTTTCCCTCACCCTCTTGGGCTATCAATTTTCTATGGGTCACGTTACCAGCTTCTACCAGACCAGGGGTTTTCTTCCACAAGAGGGAAAGCCTGGGAACGAGGTTGATCATTAGTTGGGTACGACAAACAAATAACAGAGAAGCAACTGACAAAGACTTTTGCCGGCCTTTGACTTATTATGGGCAGATCTTACACAAAGGATATCTTTTTCAAACGTTTTCCGTTGTGCGCGCCTACGTTTTCATGTATTAAATATAAGTTTTCGTGTTTTTCATTCAAAACACAACAGGCGTTCAGAAACCGCAGTGCGTACGATGTACAAGGTTAAATTATGCAGCATTTGTTTATGTCTATTGTGAAATAATCCTCGAAACAGATATAGCAACTTGTGTATAAAAAACATTGTTTTTGTTGTTGATGAATGATATAGGGTCAGAAATTTAAATGTGTTTTCACATTTACCTTGCTGTTTTCAGTAAATGCTTAAAGAACATATTTTATTAGCATTGCCATATGGCAGACAGTCACAGTAGGTCGTCAGGAAATTTCTAGCTGTAAAATACTCTAGGGCCTAGGCGTATAATAATTTTAATGTGTAAAAACATCCCCTTTGCCTATTATTTATTGTGCATAATGTTGTATGCTTTGCATAAACTAAGAAAAAACCTTCAGTTGGGATAATAAAGAAAATCGGTTGCAGATATAAGAATATTGAGTCGCATGGCTGATTAGACGTGATAAGAACATCGGTCAACCGAGCCATGTGGTAATTAAAGTTATCAAAAAAGGCCTTAACATTCCCTCATTTGGCCAGCCAAGGCATTCATATGCATAAGCTTGTAAACCACGCGTACGAAAGCAAATTAAATTGAATTGTTTCGCCTAACGATTGCCATTGCAGGACAATACAAGGAATGAAGACAAGGAACGAAAAAGTAAGTCAAGTTTTAATACACGAACCAAAAATCTAATATCCTAAAGGTCTCAAACTTGCACGCTAAATAGGATTTAATACTGAAACAAATGCTTGAGCACGACAATCAATTTCCCAAACAACACTGTACATGCAGCTGTCGGTATAGTTTTTTCAGTTTAATCTTCATATTGATTCAGACACGTTGGTTAGCTGAAAAGATTTGTAACAATCTAAGCTAGCTTGCTTTGTCTTAGGATTTTAGATGTTATTAAACAATATAAAAAATATATAATTTATATTATACGTGTATAGAGATCGGATGAGTTGTTTGGTAAATTATATCATGTATATGATTTAGGATGAATATAAAACAAATATACTGCATTTGCCAACAATTATGTACAGTACGTTAGTACTAACAAACTATGGTGTGGACAATCATTCCATGGTTATATTAGTTTCTACTCCGTCGGTTGAAGGCATATATCACTAAAAATATTAAAATTTAAAGCATAAAGGTATTAAGGACAAACAGCAAGAATTCTGCATGTGGCTTGCAGCCATATCCTTTTTTCTATTCTTGAATTTATCGAACCAAATACTATACATGCATGTCATTAAATTTTGCAGTAATTTTCTACCCTTAAAGCCGCCGATATTATGATTATTTTTCCGTTCCGGGGCAAAGCTTCTCATTGCATTATAAACATGCATTGTATTAAATTTGTCAATGTCATAAATATTATTAGTCATGTGCCGAAATGTGTTTCCTTTTATCCTTATATCATATATGCCGTTATATTACAAGATGATGCAATGACTTTAAGTTATTTGGAGGTTATAAATGTATGTGTATAAAACTAAACGAGGTTTACAATTAAGTTTCGTGTAATACTGTATACGCGCGGTGTTCTGTTTTACATCAGCATGCGATCAAGTTTGTTTGGTTTTACAATTTATAGATGGCACGATACAAAGGTACAGCGGAGTTATCTCTATGTTTGAGCATACACAACCAGCTGCTTTGCTTTTGAGACTGAACATCGAGAGATCACACTCTGACAAGGTGTGGGGGACGAACAGACAACGTCCACGCGTATAACGGTCTTCACACACCAACTGTCGGACGTTTTTGGTGCATATATCTCTGCTTATTTCCCATACTACATGCTTGTGTGACCTAAAGCACCGACTAAACTAGTCAAAATTATTTCACGTTATTTTCAATTTATTATCTGTGTTTACTAAACAAATGAGGAGGAAATGAAAACTAATAATAATAATAAAAGCAAGCGAAAATCACTTAGGCGGCAGTGGTCCGTGGATGTTCCATCCAGTATTCAGAAGAAATTTCGAGAAGTTACAGCAAGCCGACGTTCAAAATCGCTTGACGAAGAAGTTTATAAAGAGAAATTACTTAACGAAACGGAATATGACAGACAAGACAACAAAAAAGTTAAGGGCTCTTTTGAGAACTTTGGTCAAGATCATTCAGAACTTCCTCATTCGCCGTCGTTGTCTAGTAGCTCCAGTTCTTGGTATTCATTTGACGATGACAACAGCGAGAGCTCGTTTAGAGGAAATGAAACACAAAACCAAACTGAAATCAACGATATTCAAATCGAAGTAAAAAGTCGTGAGAACTTTAACGAGAAGGCCTCCTCGCCCACACGGACAAAGGATATCTTAAGCGTGAACACATGTGGATTATTAAGCACAATAGACGAGCTTGTTCCACGTAGTCCAACTAAAAGAACATCTCCAGCTGCAGAATTTGATATCAATAAAGACAAAACAGGAATTAACGATGTTCCATCAAAGTTTGCCAAAAACGAGGATACAATTAATGATGAAGAACCGGAAATAGGCGAACGTTATCGACGATACGCAATATGCGAGGAAATGGAAAGATATATTATAGTTGATCACAAGGGCCTTAGCTTGAGAAAATATCGTGAAACTTTGATAAGGCACCTAGTACTCAAGGATTTATGTCTTCTTTGAAGAAAGATGCTCCTTATCATATCCAATATATGCCCCTACAGTATATATAAATCCCTTATTTATATATGCATATATATATATATATATATATATATATATATATATATATATATATATATATATATATATATATATATATATATATATATATATATATATATATATATATATATATAATATGTTCAACTATATATATATATAATATATAATATATGTTCAACTATATATATATATATATATATATATAATATATGTTCAACTATATATATATATATAATATATGTTCAACTGTATATAT